TACTTTTCATGTTCTCAGTAAATTAAACGGCCTAATACCGCCGAACAAGTTGTGGGAATAATGCCTTATATGTGCGCAGTGTGGCATAGGCTTCTGTGGCATAGGCTCCTGTGGCATAGGCTTCTGTAGCATAGGCTTCTGTGGCATAGGCTTCTGTGGCATAGGCTTCTGTGGCATAGGCTTTTCGGAGGAGACAAAAATATATAGCATTTTGACATTTTGACAATTGTAAAGTTTCAAATATGTATTTTATTGCAACATTATATTGCTAACAGTATAGACGTATTTCAAATTCCACGTGTCTATTACCCTGACTTCTCGTCGCAACATTGAAGGGTTAAGAACAACGTCTTGGGTTGTGGCACAAGTAAGATAGGATCGTCGGACAAGGAAAACTTGGGGCAAATTAGATTGAAATTAGACAGAAACAGTTGGGCACGCTTCTTACGATGCCCCTATTCACCTAGCAATAATACAGGTACCTGGGAGTTAGACAGTTGCTGTGGGTCGCATCCTGGGGGAAAGTCAGTTGCTTGACAATGGGAATTATTTGAGGGGGAAGAAAAGTTTTCCAACGTCGTATCCCAAGTTATGGTCTTTAGGGGATTTTATCAGTAAGATTTTTGTTTCCTTTCTTGTCTCCTGAGACAGTCAGTGTTCAATTATGTGCATTGGTTCCAGCCTCTGGCGCTAAGTTCAGGATGTTATCAAAGTTGATGTTCCGCTTAAGCGGTCCGATCATAACCTTGGGGGTACAGTCGACCCTATGGTACGCTCTATAGCAGCTGTCCGACTTCGCTACACCCACCTGAGGTACACTTGCTTATATGAGAGCTTCCATGGAATACTGATTGATGACGAACCTGGAATATTTGTTTATCTAACAGGTTCCAGTCGGATGCAGAAGATTCCCATTAAATCCAAATATCTTAATAAGCTTTGTACGTCACTCCTTTATGGCAGATCCTAGCCAAGTCCTCAGCAACATCCAGGGGTATCTTGAGATTATCTTGAGATGATTTCGGGGCTTTAGTGTCCCCGCGGCCCGGTCCTCGACCAGGCCTCCACCCCCAGGAAGCAGCCCGTGACAGCTGACTAACTCCCAGGTACCTATTTACTGCTAGGTAACAGGGGCATTCAGGGTGAAAGAAACTTTGCCCATTTGTTTCTGCCTCGTGCGGGAATCGAACCCGCGCCACAGAATTACGAGTCCTGCGCGCTATCCACCAGGCTACGAGGCCCCCATTATGTTATGGGGTATAGGGGTATGTTATACATTCTCCACACTGACGAAACTCTTGTTCCACTTAGCGGCCAAAGGTAGTAGAAGCGCTGAGGATTACCAGTTTGGCAGAGTTTTTCCATGAAATCATTGTTTTTTTTTAGATATGGTGAATTTTGACCAACTCTTTGGTTTTATTCCAATCAGGTCCCCCCGAATCTCTGACCTGTATCTGGGTTCAAATCAGATTTTTAGCTCGATTTACACATAATTATGAGAACATTTTACAACTGGATTACAATATAATTGTCGCTTGAGATGTGCGGTAACTTATGTTTTACGAATTTCCATTATTTTAACCCCAAATGACCATTTTCGTCTTAGTGCTGTAGCTTGCGTTATTATTGATAGGTTTTTTATTTGTCTCAGAACTTGAGTTAGAACTCATCTTCTGGCGCTGGTCACGCAGCATAATTTGTCCATCCACTTAGACAGGTCAGTTCAGCACCAGCCTTGCTTCTAGTGTGTAAGCGTACATTTGCTTGCGTGTAAGTATGTATATTGCGCGTGTGTTTGCGTGTATGCAGGGTGGTTTGCGTGTGTGAGTATATGCACGATTCTTGTATACAAAAGCTTACGGTGTTGAGCGCCAGTTTATCACTTGGAACTTATTTCGTATCTAAATAACCAAATTTCTTGTTATCATCCAAGACTTCCAACTGTTGCTAGCAGCTTGGATACTCGTTGCGTCTGAACACTAGTTTGTAACCATTTAACTTTGTTATCTAGATCCGTAATTCTATATATCTTAACACAAATGTGAACGGGATCTCGTACTGTAGTCAGTGTAGTGTTTTAAGGTCTCGACACGGTCTTTGGTCACCTTGACGTTCATATACATGGCAAGAAGTGACATTCCATTGTTTACGCTTGTAAACAATGAGACCTGCAGCTTGTTGGGTAGAATGGCAGAGGGTGACAATTAAACACTACGGTTATCAAATATTAGAAGAGAGAGAGAGAGCAGGAAGCAGAGAGGGAGGGAGAGAGAGAGAGAGAGACTCTTTCGAGAGAGAGAGACTCTTTCGAGAGAGAGAGAGACTCTTTCAAGAGAGAGAGACTCTCTCTGACGACTGATCCAGAGTCAGTCTTCAGGTAAATGAAGTTGTTCGTTTCAAAATGATTTCTAAAAGTTAGTTATATTCTCTAGAAACTGTTACAGTAATTATTAGGGCTAGAAGTATACCTCTCTTAACTGTTAGTGTAATGTTGAATGCCTAATTACACTTTAAAACATACAGTTCAAGAACTGTTTAGCTGTAGAGTTAATCAGCACTTGCTGTTTGATACCGTAATTCAAAGCTGAAATTTTATTTCTCGCACATATTCTTTGACTAATTTTCCATAGCCCAGTGATAAATCAGGAAGTGGAATATTTAAATGATGTGGGGAAAAAAGTAATTGTGGGGAACCCAGCAGACCATAATTTTTAGCCCGACCCAAAATATTTTACGTCCAAAATTCTCAGAGTCCATAAATCTGTCAATGAAAAGTCCTGTATAACGCAGGAGGGAATTCTTGCCTTTTTTAAATAAATATTTGTACCCGATAACATTAAGATAATCTGTCAAGAGTTAGTCCGGTGATCTGCCGCTAGTCTTTATGAGGAGTCTTTAAGTCTTTTAAGAGGAGATAACGTGGCTGAAACTTTCCACAAGAGTGAGCCATCTAGACTCACTCCTGTGAATTGATAGCGATGACGTTTCGGTCCATCACCACCGACCGAAACATCGTCCACTTTCATATATTTGGGTGGGGGTTATATTATACAGATATCTGTATCAAGGCAAACCGTAATATAATGTACCTTGCATAGCATTAGCCATGATCCGGTTGTGGGGATTAATCTCGCTCATTAATTACAGCGAATGATGACATACCTGATCATATCATTCGTGTTTCTCCCTCTCATTAATTTTCCCCCTCAATGTTATTTATTTTTCTACCCTTCTCTTACTGCTCATGTACGCTCTCGGTTATTCTTCTCTGTTATGTTTCGAACCAACTTGCCGGTGTCTACTATTCCATCCGCCTCCTGCTCCATCTACTTACCTTTCTCCTTCTTTTCTTATTTCCTCTTCTTCCCTCTCTTCTCCTCATGCTTCCTGGCACACACAACAGCTCGCTACCTTGCAGGTGCCGGCACCAAGGTGTGGCACTGAAGACGATGATTCAGGGGACACCCAATTAGGTTTAAACACACCTGTCCTGATTCAAGTGGTGGATGTGTGGATGTCCTCGTGAGGTGAGGCGGGGGGTGGGGGGAGGGACTCTATGATGAAAGTGGTTAATGGGGCTGAGGCACTTAAGAGGAAGGTTGATGAAGGGGGGGATGGTTGGTGGGTGAGTTAGAATGTCTGTCTGTCTGAAGTAGGATGCTATAGCCTCCACCAATTTTCCCACGTGATAAAAGGGGCGTATGGAGTTTCACAGGCCAGTCGGGGTCAACCCACGTGCCACGTTTTAAGAAATATCGGCACCTATGTTGCTGCTCACCACCGCCTTTCCCAATTGCTATTTTTATCATCAGAAATGAAATCAGGGTTGTGTTTTCCATAGAGAAATGATGCTTGCTCATGACATTTGCCAGCGCAGACTATTGATCACATGCCTCTGTATGACTAACCATCCTGTGTGATGGGGATATTTAGCTCCACGTAGCTAGCTTTGTGACACACTGTACTCCCCTTCATATAGCCTAGAGTAGCTGCACAAATGCAGATGTACCTAAATGTGTTAATACAACAAAATTCATCCACGTTCATGGCTTGCTTGAAAACGCTGAACGTGAAATCAACCGGATTACAGTATTACATTTTATGAGACAAAGACAGATACAGAAAAATAAAAAGGGATTGCAGAGGGACAAAGAAGGAGGGAGAGAGAGAGAGACCAGGTGGGAAGGGGGAAGACAAAAAGGAGAGGAAAGAGGGAGAGAGAGGAAGGGAAATAGAGGGGGGATATTAGAAGAGAGGGCAGGAAAGAAGGGAAAATAAGGAAGTATAAAGATGGAGAGGGTGCGAGTGAGGGAGGCGTGAAGGAGGGGTGGAGAGGAGGAGAAAGGTGGAGAGAATGGATGAAGGGGAAGGGAAGAGAGGGGGGGGGTGATGAAGGAGAGTGGAAAAAACGAGACGGGAAGGGAGAGGGGAAGAGCATAGGGGAGAGAGAGAGAGAGAGAGAGAGAGAGAGAGAGAGAGAGAGAGAGAGAGAGAGAGAGAGAGAGAGAGAGAGAGAGAGAGAGACCCGTTCCTAGCCGGTACCCCACCCAGGGGCGAATAAATTAGAGTGGGTTTAAGCAAGGGATGATGGGGGAGAGAGATCGCAGATTAGCTGCAGCTTAAAGTTGGGATGTGTGTGTAAATGCTGTGAGAGTTGGAGCTTTATCAGAGATAAGCGTGAGGATTATATCTGATATATATATGTATTAGTGCTTGGATGTGATATCCTACAAGGGGGTAGAACGTTTGAACCACCTTTAAGGTGAGTTAAGACTTTGAAGACGTACATACAAAAGATATATATTTACAATTTAAGCACTTCTAATTATTTGTGTACAATTGTTGAGTCATTTGCGAAAAAAGGGGATTTAAGAGCCATAATCAGTAATGATCCAAAACCAGAAAGGTCATCTTGAGGTTATCTAGAGTTTGTATTTTATCATACAAGTTTGAAATAAGGTCAAATAAGATGCTAACATTCATATCCATAAGCGTTAACAATGAAAAACTCTAATTATATCCTTAACTTCAACTTGACCTTTGTCCAGTGGTTGTGCGTGTTCCACGGACGCAGGTTCGAGCCCCATTGTAATCCCCAGTATTTTCTCTTACGAATCTTTTCTTAGAAGGGGTCCCTAAAACGACTTTCCTTCCCAGAAATGACTAACAATAGACGTAAAGGCTTACAAATAGGCAGACAACTTGCGCTCCACAAGTATCGCCTCCAGAACGACACGAAACATTAGACCAGAATTAGTCAAACACTTTTTTGAAAATTGGGATAGGTGGTCTGTGGAACAACTTGTCAAGTAACATAAGGAAACCAACGGGAAAGTTGGGATTTTCAACAAGGAAACCAAGTTTCCTTGTTTCGACATAGTTTCAACAAGGAAACCAAGTTTCCTTGTTTCGACATAGTTTCGACAAGGAAACCAACGGCAGTGTTTCGAAGAAAGAATTTGTCCAGCCGATGCTGGACAAATTCATAATAGGAACCGCCTCGCATGGGACAATAGTCGTTGTTGTTGTTTTAGATTCAACTACTCAGAACGAAATGTCCATGTAGCACGGGCTATGGTGAGCCCGTAGGGACAATATTCCAATATTCACAAATTTCATGTTCATGCGGTCTTTGTGAACACGAAATATAAAAACACTATAATTGACCTGCCATATACCTAGCGTCGACTTTTTAAAATCGGATTACTATAATTTCTTAAAGTGTGAGATTCTAAGCCCTGATGCTGGAGTCGGCGACCTTCCTGATATCCTTCGGATCGATCGAATTTGTAACTCACTCCATGGAATGTTAAATTTCATTTTCTTTTTTTTTTTAACTTGGCATTAACTTGGCCAGAAGGGCAAGTTTATTGGGCAGCGTCACTCTGTGAGTGAACACTGTGATGGAGTGACAGTATTGGGCAGCGTCACTCTGTGAGTGAACACTGTGATGGAGTGACAGTATTGGGCAGCGTCACTCTGTGAGTGAACACTGTGATGGAGTGACAGTATTGGGCAGCGTCACTCATCCTGTGAGCGAACACACTGATGGAGTAACAGTATTGGGCAGCGTCACTCATCCTGTGAGCGAACACTGTGATGGAGTGACAGTATTGGGCAGCGTCACTCTGTGAGTGAACACTGTGATGGAGTGACAGTATTGGGCAGCGTCACTCTGTGAGTGAACACTGTGATGGAGTGACAGTATTGGGCAGCGTCACTCTGTGAGTGAACACTGTGATGGAGTGACAGTATTGGGCAGCGTCACTCTGTGAGTGAACACTGTGATGGAGTGACAGTATTGGGCAGCGTCACTCTGTGAGTGAACACTGTGATGGAGTGACAGTATTGGGCAGCGTCACTCTGTGAGTGAACACTGTGATGGAGTGACAGTATTGGGCAGCGTCACTCTGTGAGTGAACACTGTGATGGAGTGACAGTATTGGGCAGCGTCACTCTGTGAGTGAACACTGTGATGGAGTGACAGTATTGGGCAGCGTCACTCTGTGAGTGAACACTGTGATGGAGTGACAGTATTGGGCAGCGTCACTCTGTGAGTGAACACTGTGATGGAGTGACAGTATTGGGCAGCGTCACTCATCCTGTGAGCGAACACACTGATGGAGTGACAGTATTGGGCAGCGTCACTCATCCTGTGAGCGAACACACTGATGGAGTGACAGTATTGGGCAGCGTCACTCATCCTGTGAGCGAACACACTGATGGAGTGACAGTATTAGGCAGCGTCACTCATCCTGTGAGCGAACACACTGATGGAGTGACAGTATTGGGCAGCGTCACTCATCCTGTGAGTGAACACTGTGATGGAGTGACAGTATTGAGTTAAAGTACTGCCACTGTCTCAGATGGGAGGGGTGTAAGTACCCTTCACAGGATGCTGCTTCACAGGATGCTACTTCAGAGGATGCTACTTCAGAGGATGCTACTTCAGAGGATGCTACTTCAGAGGATGCTACTTCAGAGGATGCTACTTCAGAGGATGCTACTTCAGAGGATGCTACTTCAGAGGATGCTACTTCAGAGGATGCTACTTCAGAGGATGCTACTTCAGAGGATGCTACTTCAGAGGATGCTACTTCACTGGATGTTACTTCACAGGATGCTACTTCAGAGGATGCTACTTCACTGGATGTTACTTCACAGGATGCTGCTTCAGAGGATGCTGCTTCAGAGGATGCTACTTCAGAGGATGCTACTTCACAGGATGCTACTTCACAGGATGCTACTTCAGAGGATGCTACTTCACTGGATGTTACTTCACTGGATGTTACTTCACAGGATGCTACTTCAGAGGATGCTACTTCACAGGATGCTACTTCACTGGATGCTACTTCACAGGATGCTACTTCACTGGATGCTCCTTCACAGGATGCTACTTGACAGGATGCTGCTTCACAGGATGCTACTTCACAGGATGCTCCTTCACAGGATGCTACTTGACAGGATGCTACTTCACAGGATGCTGCTTCACAGGATGCTACTTCACAGGATGCTACTTCACAGGATGCTACTTCACAGGATGCTGCTTCACAGGATGCTACTTCACAGGATGCTCCTTCACAGGATGCTCCTTCACAGGATGCTCCTTTACAGGATGCTGCTTCACAGGATGCTACTTCACAGGATGCTCCTTCACAGGATGCTACTTGACAGGATGCTACTTCACAGGATGCTGCTTCACAGGATGCTACTTCACAGGATGCTAATTCACAGGATGCTGCTTCACAGGATGCTACTTCACAGGATGCTCCTTCACAGGATGCTACTTGACAGGATGCTACCTCACAGGATGCTCCTTCACAGGATGCTACTTCACAGGATGCTACTTCACATTATGCTGCTTCACAGGATGCTACATCACAGGATGCTCCTTCACAGGATGCTACTTCACAGGATGCTACATCACAGGATGCTACTTCACAGGATGCTACTTGACAGGATGCTACTTCACAGGATGCTCCTTCACAGGATGCTACTTCACAGGATGCTACATCACAGGATGCTGCTTCACAGGATGCTACTTCACAGGATGCTACTTCACAGGATGCTGCTTCACAGGATGCTACATCACAGGATGCTACTTCACAGGATGCTACTTCACAGGATGCTACTTCACAGGATGCTCCTTCACAGGATGCTGCTTCACTGGATGCTACTTCACAGGATGTTCAGCAGCCTCCAGGGAAGTACTACTGA